ATCTCATTGCCTCTGACACACCCATCCTGATTACCCCAGTCACTGAATCAATCCACCTCATAGACGGTCTTCCCCTCCTGCGCTGTCCCTCTACCTTCCCAAGCATGATGTCCCTCTCTAAAGACCTGTCTCTCCTTACAACATGTCCAAAGTATGTCAGACGAAGCCCCAGAATCCTTGTCTCCAAGAAGCAGCCTGATTTAATCCTCTCTACGATGAATCTGTTTGTTTTCTTGGCAGTCCATGGTTTACGCACTTTAAAAAAAACAACAAAAAATGACTGGATGAATGCATTGACAGGAAGCTGCTAGAAATTTAAGCTTGATTTCAGTAGAGGCTGTGAAACAAAAGGTATCATTGCTGAAAGCAGAGAACACCAGAATGATGTTTATTTGTGTTTTATTGATTATTCAAGGGCATTTGACTGAGTGGATCATAACAAATTATGAATAATATTGAGAAGAGTAAGAATCTTAGAACAACTGTCCTCATGAGAAATCTATAAATAGGCCAAGAAGAAGTTGTCTGAACAGAACAAGGAAATATTGCATGCCTTAAAATCAGGTAAAGTGTGCATCAGGAGTGCATCTTTTCTCCATATGGATTCAATATGTATGTTGAGAATCATTCAAGAAGCTACATTCTATGAAGAAGAATGTTGTAGCATCAGGATTGGAGGAAGACTCACCAACAACCTGCCTTATGCAGATAGTACAACTTTGTTTGCAAAAAGTGAAGAGGAAATTAAACACTTGCTGCTCTTGTTATGTACCATCAGGTTAGAAGCTGACCTTCAATCAGGTTTTCAGAGCCAGTAAATCAAATTAGAGGAGTTTGTCCATCTTTCTCCCACAGAGCATCTGGTGGATTCAAGCTGTGTACCTTCAAATTGGCAGCACAACTCCTTACCATTAGGCTACTGTAGTTCCCTGAAGCACTTACTACAGGAGATCCAAAAGTACAGTCTTCAATATGGATTAAACATCAACCAAAGTCTTTCCCACTGGACCAATAGGTAAAGTCATGATAGATCAAGAGAATACTGAAGTTGTCAACTGATTCCATTTACATCGATCCACAATCAACAGCAATGGCAATAGTAAAGAAATCAACAGATGTGTTGCATTGGGGAAATCTGTTTTCAATGATCATCTAAAGTGCAAAAGAGCAATGATGTCAGTTTAAACACTAAGGTGCAGCTGATCCAAGTTGTTTTTTTTTTAGCAAGCTGATATCTCTTTATTATTATTAGTCAAATCTCCTAAACACAGTTAACTTCTTCTTTAAGGGCACATTTCCTGTTAAGGCCAGAAATGGGTTTCAAACTATCAACTCTGTTGCTTTCATTTAGGAGGAACTAATCCTATTTTCTGTTATTATTTATTTCTAAGTTCGTTTTGCCACATTGTGCTGTCTCAAGCTAGAAGTGATGACCAATCACATAAAAAGCAGTCTAGTAGGCGCCATGTGGCAATGCCAGTAAGTGGGGTGGCGACAGTTGATGCTGTCAAGCCACCTTCCATCTTCATCCCTCCCTGCCATCTTTTTCTCTCCTAGACTGTGGCCTTGCTGTGCTCACAGGCTGCAAGAGCATGCCAACAGCTTTTAATTGACTCTCTTAAAAGCAGGGCTTCTAAGTGGTCCAAAGCTTTGCTGAAAAGAACCAATGATGATTGGAAAGGCTGACATGTATTTGAACTCTGCCCTTTCAGCAATTGCCAAGCTTTCTCAGTGGTATTTCAGAGAACGTTTTGTGTGTTTTGGACACATTAAGGAATCTGACTAGCTTAGTGAAAGAGCACCACCTATGTGGCTTAATGCTAAGACTTCACATCTTTCATTTATGTATTTCACCAGACGTTGTTAAAACACCCTGAAGGTTGAGATTACTGTTAGAGCCATTTTTACAATTGTGCATCTTTCCCTTTTAAGCAGGCCATAAGGCTCATGCAAAATGATTCCTTGAGAAAGTTCCTGAGCCTGGGAATAACTAACCCTGATTCTTTCCCCCCTTCATGAATCAGATTCTTCTTCCTCTTCTTCCTCCTCCTCTTCAAGAGCATGGCTCCTTGTGCTCAGCTCCAGGGAAGTCTGGTTGATTGAAGCTTCGTTGTCTACATGCACCAACATATCCTGTGATTGTTCAGGTGCAGATTGAGAAGACAGCATTTCATCCCCTCCTCTAGAATTAATCATTGACTGAAGGGCCATCTCCTCGACCTTGAGCCGGATCAGCTGGTCGTGCAGTGCTGCCTTCAGCCGAAGGAGGGTCTCTTCCTCCTTGCGTAGCTCCTGAAGCCGGCTCAGCATCGCCTCTGTTCACGTTAGGGACCCTCTTCGTGGCCTGCTCTGATCCAAGTATTTTCAATTGCTTCTTGTGAATCTGAAAGTTAAACAATGAATAAGGAAGACCAAAGAACAACCAATGCCTCTGAATTGAGGTTTTAGACAAGGATATTAAATCTACCATGCACTGCCAAAAGAAATAAGTATATTGAAGGAGGTGCAACCAGAGTCTTCCTTAGAGACAAGGATAGTGAAACTTTGTCTCACTTGTTTGGGGGTTTTGCTCAGGAGGAACTGCCCCTTGGAGAGAGACGTCATACTAGGAGAGGTAAAGGATCGGTGAAAGAGAGGAGGACCCTCAGCGGCATGAATGGAGACAGTGACTACCACACTGGGCTTGAGCCTGACAGAGATCATAGGACGGCACAGGACAGGGCACGGTGCAGAGCTGTTGTTCATAAGGCCGCTATGAATTGTAGTTGACTTGATGGCACCTCACAGCAACAACAACCTTGACCCAGAAGATTGTGAACACGGAATTCCTAGAAACACCAGCTTGCTCCAAGGAAAAGACTCCTGGGAAAGGGTTCTTTCTGGTGTGGTTTTAAAGGATGAGCTGTGCATACTTATTGTGGCTCCACCCTCTCCATCAACTCTCGCTTCTTATCTTTAGCAGCCTCCCCTTGGACGCATGCTGCCTCACATCGCAGTGCTGGAAACATGCATCGAGAAGGGGAATGGGGACTTGGAGAGACTTCGGAATGAATTTTCTGGAGTAATACTAGTGGATAGCCTTTGTGGCAACTATTCCAGCTTCTGGGATTTCTTAAGTGTTCGTCCTTTACTCATTCTTGATTGAGTTCTGAACACCTGGCAGTATCACTGAGTTTGGAATCTTAGAGGATAAGTGAAGAATAATCCACAGAGGGCCATACTTCAAGTCTAGCAACTGCTTATGGCCTACTGGTAAGAAGCTGTGCTGCAATCCTGAAAACATACAGTTCAAATCTGCCAGCTGCTTTGCGAGAGGATAGGCAGTCTCCTCCCATGCAGTTGTCTCTGAAAATCCACCAGCGGGTCAGCTATGGCTCAGTTCCAACTCGATGGTAAACAACAACAACATTCCCATTAATGATTGCCAAGGATGACGTGCTCTCCAGACGCATGTCCCCTAACTGACCCCTGTGCCAGGATGCCATCTGACTAAAAGGCAGCCCTTGTAAATGCTTCCTCGGCAAGACCTGGGACACATAATTTGTCTGGGGACATGTGCATTTGTCACTTTTCTAACTGCCAACTATTACTAAAAGCATTAGGATAGACCTAGAGTAACTATTTTGCCATTAACGTAGAGATGGCTTTTAAGTTGTCCTAGAGAGAAAGAAAGCATGAGACTATTCAGATGTATGAGGTCAAGCACCTAACTGCGTGGCTGTCCCATTTTTTAAAGTATCTAACAATTTGTATAGACGAGATTTCAGGCACTGAAAGGAATTGGAAAATGAAAGTGAGAATAATGTTTTCATTACCTCTCTAAGCCACAAAATATACTGGAGAAGGGAAATGTCATACTAGCACAATGCATTTTTATAAACTCCCCACTGGCTTTAAATAAAACCTCTCTGAGCTCATCATCAGAAATTCCTCAGGGTCATCTTTATTTTTATAGTTTAACAAAAAAAATCGAGTCAACAACAAATTCATTGGCATGCTCATTATTAACATGTGTCAAGTTGGATGGCAAGTCCCATACTGAGCCTCTTCTATTTGACTTCCAGTATGCTTGACAGCAACCTCACGAGATAGAAATTAGCATCATGTTATAACCCGGACAAGGGAGGCCCAGAGAAGTAAGGTCCGTTGTCCAAGCCAACCAGCTACTAAGTAGTAGAGGCAGGATTTAAATCAAGGTATATGCTCTTTCTGCTGCCGCTATCCAAATACCAATCAATAGTAGCCACATGTAACACTGCATAGATTGCCCTGGGAAATCAATTGGTCAAGGCTTCTTTCTCCTTTGTAGACCTTAAAGGACCAAGCCTCAGCCAGACACATGGAAAAACGGCCTCTACCATTTCAGTCCCATTAATATTCTCCACATTCTCATCTCCATGTAGCATAGACAGTTGTTGTTACTGCTGTTGTTATATAGCATCTAGTCAGAGCTGACTCCTATCTGACCAGCCAGCAGGGTTTTAGAGGCTATAAAGCCTGCAGGAGGCGAGTTCCCATCTTTCTACCACAGTGGATTTGATCTGGGTGCCTTTGGGTTGGCAGTGCAACTCATTACCACTAAGCCACTCAAGGTGGAGAGTAGGGATATTCATTTGTGAGAAGGGCCCACATCATCTCCCAAATGGGGAGTTAACATCCCCTGTGGCGACCAGCCTGACTCCCTGATGTAGCCTCTTCTCTGGATTAATGCCTCAGGGTATCTTGTATCTGAGAATGCACAATTAATACATAATAAACGAATCAGTGGATGAGAAAGAGAGAGAGAAAATGGGCGGCTAAGAAGGCTAATGGAGACTTCCTAGTCTTTGAATGTACAGAGCTCTCATCTTTCCAAGCCCATGACCAGAAGCTTGGGTTTTCAGGACAAAGAATAGGGCCCAAAAACATCCTAGAAGTAAAGAGAGGCAAGGAAGATTCAAGAAACTTTGCATTAAGACCAGTCAAACAAGCTTTGCCATTTAATCTAAGCCCCAGGTTCACCAGCAAGGCCTTTTTCTACTGCTCTCAAAGTTGGTGGTTTTCTAGGCATCTAATTACAAAGAGCCATTACTCCAGATGTGAAGAAATCAACGTAAAATTCCCCTAGCCTACCTACAGCTAAGAGACTTCAGAAACATCATTAGGGTGGGAGGAGGGGGTGTTGCTGGAGAAGGGTCTCTGCCAATGAACTGAGGGAGACTTAAATGAGTTTTAGGAGTGAACTGAAGGGCAATTTCTGCAGGACCCAGGGCCCTGGGCCCCCAGCCCCTTTATAGAAACAGGCGTAGTTGGAACAGATTTGCTATGTTGATGAGTACACTTTTTACGACTTGGGCAACATGGGCGAGACAACATGTTCTCCTGGCACAAATGCAGATCTTGGATTCTCTTCTCTCCCTGTGGGTAGAAAACATTTCCGGAATAAATGGAAAACATCTGGGGGGAAAACACAACCCAGCGGTGAACCTCAAACGCCATCCCCCAGATTAGCTCCTGAGATGCCTTTCCCAAGGCAGAACAATACGTTCTTAATGCAATTAGATGACAACACAACAATCCCACCAAGAAGCTAAAAGGCCGCAGTCTCTCTCAAAGTTCTAAGTGGCTTTGTGTGCGCTAGTTTAACTTTCCACCAAGATTTCAGGAGTGTGACATCGGAGCCTATGAATTTAGATAGCTCATTGGTTGTGGGACACTACCCACGCTCCGCTATCAAGTATGTTTTCAGATCTCTGCAACAGGAGGTGAATTCAGGTAGAGTAGCATACGTTACCACCTCCTGCAGGGTCGGACGCAGCTCTGAATTTCGATTACAGCCTTATCCATAACTTCCAGACTTCATTAATTTGGGGAGAATTATGGTTTGGCTTTGGTTCTTCCTTTTCCTTTTCTTTTCTTTTTTTTAAGGTTGTGTGTGACAAAAAAATTATGCTTTCAATTTGGAAAGCCAAATATCTCCATGGGTCCTGTCACGGCCAGTGTGAGCTGCAGACAGTCCCATTGATAGGGTTAATTGCCATTTTTAAAGCATTCACTGCCTCCAGATTGATTCTTCTGTTTTTTGTCTTTACACAACATTACTGTGTCTCACTCTAATTATTCAATGCTAAGTTCAGACTTCTGAAGCAGGAGACTGGAGTCAGAGGAAATGGTGTTTGATTTGTTGCCATGGAAACACCTTGCTGTAGATGGACTCTAATCCCATGACAACTCTCTCTCTCTTAAGAACCATTTTTTTCCCTGACATAATAAAAATCTGATCAAGGTCAGATTTAATAACCATCTCAATTGCTCGACTTTCCCCTGTATTTGGTGTCAGAATGTTATTATTTACAAAGAGATGCCAAAAAGAACTTTGACGTGCTCTTCATATAAAATGACTGTTTATGCCTTTAAATGTGTAATGAACCTGGCTCCATATCATATTAATGTTCAGCCATACCTTTTGTGATTGCATAATTTCTGCATTAAAAGAAAGTTACTTATAATTGTTTGTTCTGCGTTAGCAGATGTTAACATTCTGTGGTGCATTGTTCTTGCTAATACATACATTAGGAGTATCAATAAACCTTACTGTGTGCGAACAAATGGTGTTTACTGTATTAGCAAATGCTATGTCCATTTAGCTTTCCATTTTCACTGTAGTAATTTTGTGAATTGATTATCATGAAAGCATGCAGCTCAGTGAAGTGGGACCAAGGCAATGCCACACTGAAAGGACATGTGTCCTGTCGGAGAAAGGCAAAGAAAAAATGGCCTGCTGTGCATCCTGAAGGCAAAACCTCCCTTTCCCTGGGCCTGGGTGACCTCCCTAGACAAGAAGAGGTGACAGCATGGGATTGCTTGGGCAGTTCCTGACCTACACTGGCCCCACCAAGGAGAGGTCAGAGGCTCTAGGTCTCTCTTGGCCTGTGACTGACTCGCCTACATGCCTGCACCTGGCACCTTACCATCTCCAATACTTCAAATTGGCTTCCTCTCAGATACACATATTCACTCTGTGAAGGTGAAGAAGGTCATGGAGGTTCTGCCCCAGCATCTAGGTGATAAGCCTGGGACTCAGAGAGGTGAAGTTACCTGCTCAACATCACACAGCTATTTGCTGTTCTGTGTTGTCAAGTCAGAACCTGCTCGGAACGGATTCCCCAGTGAGTGTAAGGACAATGGCTCTGAATCTTGTACTATCCTTAGCTAACTTCACAGTCTCTCACACCTGACCCTATTGCCACAGTCACGGTGACAATCCATCTCATCCAGGGTCTTCTTCCCATTCTACTGACTGTTGTTGTCATTGTTATTCTGTGTCATTG